ACACACACACACACACACAAACACACACAAACACACACACACATACTCACACACATACACACACACACACACACACACCTTTGCCCCCTCCTCTGGGCTCCTGGTTCTTTCTGCAGCCTTTTGTACTGCTACTCATTGGCTCCTTCTAATCTTACTGCTGTATTTCAGCCACACCCCTGATATTATGGTTGGTAATACGAGGTGCCCATTACGGCTGGATCGGGACGATCGCCCGACTTGGTCGCCTGAAACTGGAAACAAACACGTTTGTTTTTTAGGCGACCGAGTTGGGCGATCGGCCCGATCCGCCGATCCCATCCGTAGTGGGCACCCGGTATAAGATCTACGTCTACCCTTCTCGGATAAGGGCGAAAAATCTCGGCGGTCCTGTGTGCAAGTTGTGCACGTGAAAGATCCCCTGTTTGTCCTAAAATCAATAAGAGTAAGTGTCCGCCGGCACCGCAGCTTACTTTACTTTTATCCGCCACTTATACCCTTTTGGGTGTCGCGGGAAGAAAGAGACGTCTCTCTGTTGCCAGCTGGAGAGCCTGGGTCAGGGGGATGCCGTGGCTGGTTAATGTTTCCCAGACTCTAACTATCCAGGTCTTTTTCTGTCGCCCTCTAGCCTTGTTGCCATCGAATTTTTTTTAAAAATGTAGGCACGTAGTGCTGGATGGTGTGTTGGTAATTGTAGGAGATGTCCGAACCAAAAATTCAAAAATATTACCTACTGAACTGATTATGCCTGATGTGTTCTGCGCGCTCACGTGACATTATGCAGTAGCAAGTGCCGTAAAATACTCATAACCCCCCCCCCCTCCGAAAAGTTATAAATAAAGTTGTCCTTTGGCGCTCATATGACCTTAGGCTGTTGCGAGCGCCGAAAAACCTCTAATAAAACAAAAAACTAAAAGTTGTCCTTTCCTTTTCCTTCTTTCCATTTCATCAATCCCTTTGGATTTTTACCCTATTACCACATATTAGAGGGTGCAGTGGCGGAGCGGTTAGTGCGCTCGTCTCTGAAGCGGAAAGTCCGGGTTCGAGCCTCGGTTCGGACACGGATTTTTTTTAAACCCCCTCCTTCCCACCCAGCAGTAATGGGTACCTGACTTCGAGTTGGGGAAGTAAAGGCGGCGTGGAAAGGAACTGGTCACCCAACAACAATATGCCGAAGGCCCAGGAAGTTGTCTCACTAACAAGGCAATCCCCAATGTCCGGATCGGATACGGGAACAACTATACTTTCCCACATATTAACACTTGTGTACCTTCTAATATTGCATACTGTAACATAGATGAATTAGTTTCCTCAATGCTGTATTGTAAATGTAGCAAGGTTAAAGAGGTAACCAACCTTTCCTTCTATCCCGTGGGCCAAACCGCCAGGAGATAAGCCAATAAAAGGCCAAGACTTGTCATCGTAAAAGGGGAGAGAACTGAAGATATAGTAAAAAGCTCCGTAATTCAGCCGGGCAACGCTTACGTCCCCTTCTACATCAACTCGGCCTCTGTTCCAAACGTCGCTCCACTCTTGGACATGTGTGGACAGGAGATTCCCAGAGTGGAAGAGAGAAACCGCTGTAGGGGAATAGCAAGAAAACGTATTCAATAGTCATGTGTGTTGGATTTTGATTATTTTACATTAGTTTGATCTTTCAAAGCGGAAGGTTGAGTGGGAGCAATTAGAGAGAACGCTGGGATGAACTGAGCACTCTCGCTCTCTCTCTCTATCTCTCTCTCTCTCTCTCT